CTTTGATATTTGGTTTAGATTGGATATTGGGAAAAATTTCTTCACTGAAAGGGTTATCAAGCACTGGAACAGGGTGGAGTCCCCGTCCCTGGAGGTATTTCAATAGACATGAAGATGTGATGCTTAGGGACATGGTAGTGGTGGGAGGCAGGGTTAGGTTAACGGTTGAACTTGATGATCTTAAAGGTCTTTTCCAACCTAAACGATTCCATGATTCTGTGATTCTATTTACAGATTGTGAGGTCTGTGGTTCACATGTGATTACATGATATGCTGATAGAGGCATGAGAGGGTTTTTATGCAGGCAGATTTACTGACCTGGTTACTTAAATTGGTGTTGTCAGGTTTTTTGTATTAATTCTCTTGTGCCTGGAAACTCTGTAAGGTATGGGTGAAAAAGAAGGCTGGATCCAGTCTGTGTTGCAAAGTGTCAGTAGATGCCAGCACTGTGGACTGAAGTGGTGTAGCCACACAGCACATGCACATGCTGCTATTGCATTGGCAAATGAAGACATGAACTTTTTTTGGATGGTATTTTTTTCATTTCCTGAGAGGGAATTTGGCAATCATTCCAGATCCTTCCTCCCTAGAGGCTGATGTGGTTGTAGGGCTGTTTTCCCTTCTTGACAAGAAGCCGATGGGCAGCATTACATGATAAGGGAAATAATTAGAGAGCTGCAGAAGATCTTATTTGTGCTTGTGAGAGAGGATGGTGCTGAGTATGTTTGGTCTTACCCTGCTACCTACAAGACCCGCCAGGACAGTATTTGAATTTGCCCCAAGGAGGGTGTTTTGCACTGCCACCTTCGTGCACTGTTTCTTAGTCAGGATCCATCCAGCTTGGGCTTGTTTTGTTTTTAGAATCTGGTGTGGACTTACTGCAGCTGAACTCCTGGATCTTATTTCATGTTCCTCCTGTCTAGCTTTGTCCTCCGTTCTTTCTCTCTCCGAATTGCCTTGGCACACTGCTGCAAAAGCCTTTCTCTGGGTTGCTCCTGCCACTGGGGACTGCCATCAGTATCTGTCACTGCTTCTCCATCCTTATGACCATGAGCTCCCCGGCCTGCAGGCAGCCCTGCACAGGCAGAACATCCTGCGCTGCTCCTGGGGAGCGCCTGTGGCATGTCCCCTTCAAGTGCTGGCTTTGCTGGTGTTGAGCCAAAGGAGGTCAGATCTCCTTCGCAAGCCCCTCATCCTCCTCCTGCCCTGGTAACAGCTGGCTGCCTGTGCAAAGCGATTATTCATGCATGCTAACGCTGACAAGGGACCCCAGAGGTTTACAGGGAGCGCTCCAGTCGGGCTTCCTGCCAGCTCCATCATAACCCCAAATGACAGAAGTGTTTCCCAGTAGAGGAGATGGGGATGCGAATGGAAAGGGGTGAAGCGTTCCCACGATGCATGCTGTCTTTGCTGTTACTTAGACTTCTTGCTTACTTAGGTCAGTTTGGATCTTTCATTTTACCATTCCTTTTAACAAGCTGCCATATGTCTTCACTTCCGCAGCAAAGGAGTGTTTTGGAGCCCCAGTTTGATTTTGGTGGGAAAGGGGAGCATGGGGAACGTGTCTGGGAGTGGAAGGAAGCCATGCATTGTGCCACTTAAGGTTTGACCTTATTACCACATAGACAGCTGCTGGCTTGGTCCTGTGCGGTATTGCAAATAGGTTGATGTTTTGGGTGATTTTCAATGGAGATAAAGCTGGATGATTTGTAGGACAGCCCTCAGGCAAAGCAGGGGTCCCTCCAGCAGCAGCACAACAGGGACCTGTGAGGGTTCGAACTGCTCTGGACAGAGATGGCAGGAGGCAGCCAAGGATGGCTGCTGGGGACACATTACTGACCTCATCCCCAAACCAGTATTTCCTGAGGCTGGTGCCTTGTCTGGAGTGTCTTGGCCTGGGTGGTAGAGTGCTGATTTTGGAGGTGGTTTCTGGCTTTTTAGGTTTTCATTTTTTATTGTTTCTTCTTTTTTTTCCCCCCCCTTTTTTCTTCTTGTCTTTATAACAAACTTTTACACTGCCTCTTCAAGTGGTATAATTAAATTGTAAGAACTGGAGTCCTAATTACCCTCTCCCATGTGAGAGCTGAGGAGCTCGTCTTCAGAGAGAGGCTGTTGGCTGAGATCCAAGAGACAAATCTCAGAGCAGAGACTGCATCTGTGTTGATATTTACTCTTATTAAGGATAATGGTCATTACCAAGTGATATCAGAGCAGGTTGCTCTTTGCAGGTTATTTTTGTCTGGCTGTAAGTGAAAGCAGAAGGAAAAGCAGAACGGGTCCATCTCTGCCATTGCTGTACATCTCCTTTTCTGCTTTTTCCAAAGAATCATTAGTATAGCATCTGAGTTGGTGGGTCTGGCATGTGCAAAAATCTGCACTGATGCATGAAAAAATTACTGATATATATTTAGATGCTTCTTATTCTGGGAATTTGCTCCTCTTCCATCCCTTGCATCAGTGCAGATAGCTTGTATAAACAGAATAAACTCCCAATGCAGTGGTGCAGAGAATCTGCCTGCTAAATGGTAAGAGACATACTGGAGCAAACTTCTGCTTTCTTTCCTGTGATAATGGATGTGCATTCAAGCAGCTACGTGAATCTCTATGAATGGAACAATCCTGAAAGCAGGGAAGGCTTAGATCCTGTTTCCTTTCAATGAAACAGCTGTTCTTACCTATATATATTTTTTTTAATAGAAACTCATGTAAACAGAAAATTAATCAGTAGGAGTTGGAGTGGTAGGAGATGCTAGCTCTTGCTCACAGGTACATCTTGGTAGTAATGTTTTGTAGCCTTTTGCGATTATAAACCTTGCAGAACCTTTTCTAAGATGAGTATCCAGATCTCTAAATGACACATGACGAAAAATTACACTTTTTTTTTTCCCCACATGGTTTGATGTTCCACCAAATGGGTGGCAGAACTGGCAACAGAATTGCCTTGATACCCATTTTGGTCCTCGACTGATGCCAGAGCAATTGCCTGTACAAACCCTGTTGCTGGAGATAGGTTTCAGCATTACACATGTTCACATCAACCACATAACATTTGTCTTGGCAAGGCTGAGATGGCCACAAATATATGTGTAACCTGGCAACATTTGGGAGTGTCTAGAAGAGCATTTACAAATGTTGACTGTGGTGTGGGCTGACTTTAGTTAAATATTTGGCAGTCAGCTCTAGCCGGGCTACAAGGGCTTCTCCGTGCCTCTAGATCTGTCTGGGGTGAGATGGGAGGATGATCTGAAACTGGTGCCTCCTTCTTAGATTCCCTGCCCTTTGAGTTGCTGAGGTTTAGCCCATAGGACCATTGGAGGACTGCAGGTGAGAGAAGACAGGATGTTTCTGGCCCATCTAGTTTTGTTAAAAGGAGAGATGTTCACGTTATTCAATGAACAGATGACATATTTTAGCTCCACCATCCACTGCAATCTGGGGAGAGCAAAGATGCAGCAGACAACAGGAAAATAACTGTTGTCTTGGCCTTGGATCTCCAGCCTCCTGGAGAAGCAAAGAAGGCATTTATGGATTACAGTGACTAGCTTCGGCTGTGATCTGAAAATGCAGAGCTGATGTGAGTTCAGCAAGACTCACAAGATAGACATGCTTCTATATGATTGGGGTTACAGGTGCTCCTTCCTGGTGAGCTAGGTTGCATGCTTTGTTAGCTCCTTAAAATGCTCATTTCTGTCTTCAGCATAATACTATGATTTTGATGCATGTGTCCATAGCACCCCCTCCTCGTTTGCATAAGCATTTGGGCAGGTTTCACAAAGGTGTGCTCTCATCTGCAGCGCACTGCCAACTTACTGTTTGTGGTTCCTCACATTAGCAGAAAGGCAGCTGGAGTTGTGTTGGGAGAAAGCACCAGTGCTGGCAGCAGCACTTAGATTTGGTGGGACTCTTGCAACCTTGCATCTCAGTGTCTCTAATCAGTTTAAACTTGATGGGTTTTCAGTGTTTTCATTTTCTAAATTGATTTATCTGCGTAAAAGGTACAAGTTGTCCTCTGCTGGGAACAAGTTTCCAAGCTTTTTAATCTTGCTGTTTGTCAGTGCAAAGAATAATCTTGTCAATGTGAATCATCCTCTTTTCTTTGTAGTTATACTGTTTCACTCATTTTCCCAGGTCTTTGACTGAGTTCATATTCACTTCAGCTTGAAGTATCCTGTAGCTTCACTTCTACGTTGTTTAGGACAGTAGTTAGGCCATGAAGGCCCTCTATTTGCCCGCTTAAACAAATGTATATGCAGTTTTCTCCCATGCCCCTTCTCTTTTCAGCTCAGCCTAATTGATGCTGGAAGCAATTCACTCTCGTTCAGTTTGAAAACTACCTCCAGCAGGTCTGCTGCTACATGCCTCCTTCTTCAGGAGCTGTGGCAGATAGTCTTTACCTCCACTTGCCAGGTGTGGCTCCAGGAGACATCCCTCATACTTAGAGTGAATGGGGTTGCTGGGCTTGGGGCTCCAAAATGTGAATGGGTTTTTGTTTTCTGCAGGACCTTTTTAAGGTTGTGATCTGGGATTGGAGACACCATGAAGATGTTTCTTTTTGATTTTGAGTTATCTTTGGCCAGATATAAAGACCTCCTCTTTCTCTTTGAATCTTTTCACAAACTGTACTCTTTGACCACCGCCCTAACAGTAGCACAGTCATCTTGAAAACCTGACTTCCTAAATTTTATGTTAATCCTATGAACAGAAGGTCTACTGGGGTACTCAGACATGCTAGAAGGGGCTGCTCTTCTACTGATTAGGGTCTGGCTTTGGAATGTGGTTTTAACACAGTTCACTGTGTCCTGATCAAGCAAACAGAGAAATTAAATTGGCTAATGCAGCTTTCCACAACGCTTGTCCCACAAACTTAGCTGAACAGCTTCCAAATTACTGTTAGTTGCAACTAATTCCTGATGAAGCAGCACAGCAATGAGTTTTCAGAACTGAATGCATTTGATTTCCTTTCTTGTAACCATTTTTCTTCCAATATGTGTTTTTTGCAGTGATACTGAAAGCCGAAAATTATGCAAGAAGATGAAAGTAGATCCTAATTCAAAGGAGAAAGGAGTGGAATTACTCCATTATAAGTGAGTGCTGGGCTGGGAATTGTAGTTCCTAATTGTTGATGCCCCTGTTAGGATCATTTGTTCTCCTTGCAGCTCCATACTGCTGCAGCATGAAGACTTCTTATTTTTTTATCCTTTGACTTGTGAAATTGATTGCTGTTTCCTCAGTATGCAAGCATGTGTTGTGACAGAAGTTGAGATAAATTTATTCTGTGTTGAATAGAGTACACTAAAAGCACAAGCGGGGCCTGGGAGAGGTGCCCAATGGACTAAAACTACCCAATGCACAGGGCTGATGCCTGAGATTTGAGCTCTCCTACTTTCTCTGTCATGTGCCCTCTGGCATGTGCCTTGGGCAAGTCGCTTCACCTCTCTCTGCTTGCTTTTCTGACTTGAGATAATACTTTGTTAGCAAAGTGGAGAAAGGCAAGTGTAGTGAGACAGTAAGAGATTTTCTTCCTGGAAATAATAGGAGTGGGAGTACTGTTAAGTGTAAGAGACACCAAGCAGCTGCATCTCCATCTCCAAAGATCATGCCTTAGTAAATATTCTTGTTGAAGTGTTAGGGAGGAAAATATTTACTAGAAACCTGTTTGCTTTACACCCTGTTTTGCACCGCAGCTGCCTGATTTCCAGCAACATTACTGCAAGTTAACACTATTCCCCACTCCTTGTTCAACAGGGACGGTGCATTTCATACTGAATATAACAGAGCGGTCACATTGAAGGTAAATTTAAATATTTGATTATTATTCTTTTGGTTTTGCTAGATATGGGGGAGACATTTGTGGATTAAAAACAGGTATTGGTACTTTTTTATGCTGAAGGCATGAAAGGGAGGGGGTTAATCTTCATAAACAGCTGTCAGAATGACCTAGAGGTTTTTGTGTGTGTACATGTCTGCCAACCACAGATCCAGGAAAATTGTGTATTAAAAAGACTGAACCCATGTTGAACTGTAATGTAAATGATGAGTTAACTTGCAGGCTGGTAACAAATAGGGATTGTCTTGTTTTGATTATAAAGTGCTATTAATGGCAGTGTAACTAAAAGTATTAGCTGATACTGCATTTTGATAAGGAGTTCTCTGAGGTTTTTTAGGTTGCGTGTTTATAAACTTTGAAGAGAGCTGAGCAGCCTTATCTTTTTTCGGATTATGGAACCACAGTTCCAATGGATGTACCCTGAGTGCAGCAGGGATAAAATGACCTTCCTTCTTCTCCTGCAAACCTTGACATAAAACAACAGAAAGCAATGTTCTGTGAGGTCAATGGAAGGAAGAAGACATGAAATGTGAAACAGGTGTAGATCTTGATGATTGTGGAAATGGTGGGCTAAAAGTGCAGTAAGCAAGCTGAAAGTGTGCAGCCTTCCTCTCTGAAGCCCTGGTGAAGCATGGGGAGGATCCATCCTCACGTGAGGCTGAAGCTCTGTGATGACTCAGCTTCCAGAAATGACTTCTGTCCAGCTCTGATGCCTGGTTCCCATTTATCTTCCTCTTCCAGCAAACCCAGCTCTGCACCATCATTGGTCTTGTGCAGGCTTGATGACATCCCCCAGGCTGACAACGTTGCATTCACTTCCCCTTTCTAGCTTGTTTAGGCATTTGGAGGAAAGTCCACGTGAGATGCTACTTGAACCTGAGTCCATCAGAGTGGCCGTTCCTAAGCATGCTCGCTCTGGACCTTCCTTTTACAGCCAGAGTTGTTGTGGAGTAGCTGATGGGGACGGACACTGTCTTGGAAGCGTGCCCTGGCTTGAGTCATCCATTCAGCCTGCACTTGGGGTCATCACGCCGAATTCACCTGAGGTGGGGAGAGTAGCACTGTCTACCTTCCCATCTCCTGCAGCAGAAAACTTGCCTGGCACTAAGAAGGGCAATGTTAGATACCTAGCTTAGCCAGCAAGTGCCTTGAGGCTCCTTCTATACTCAGTGAGCAAATCCACCTGGTAGATTTTTTTTGTTTGTTTGTTTTTCTCCCTCTTCGTGGGTGGAGAACTAACTCCCTAGCAAGGGCGGCTTGCTAGTTGCCTAAATTTGGGTGGTTTGAACACTGCATGGAGTGTCTTTCCTGCCATTCATGAAGTGCTGCAACCAGGAATTAGTGCTGTGACTCTTCCTTACAGATCGGATCAACTGGAAAGTGCCTGCAGAGCCCCAGGGAACATTGGGCTGAGAGGCAATCATAGCACAACAGGAACCACATCTTTTATTCCTTCAGTTGCTGTTCTGTGATGAGCATTTCCGCCTTCCCTCTTGCCCTGCCTGCTGGGGAGGAGGAAGCAGCATCCTGTGGACAGGGATGTGAGATTCCAGTGTGGGTGGAAGAGAGGTTTTGAAGCTACATCTCTACAGGAGCTCTAGTCTTTCTTAATTTAATTGCCCTTGTGAAACCAGCTGCTAATGACTTACAGGCTGGACAGTGCATCGAAGCTGGGCAGTGGTCAAGTAACTCAGCTGAGTGTTTACTTGTTCTGCTGCTCACAGCTGCCTGTATATTTTCTGTATTTCTGCCTCTATACCACTACTTCTCCCTGTTTTCTTCTGTTGAGGCAGTGACCTTTCTTTCTCTCTCAGCTGTGTTTGTCAGGAGTCTCCCAGTACATTACAAACAGTGAGCAGCAGAGCAACACAATTACACAGAGTATCATACCCATTTTACGGACAGGTGGACACGCTGAAGAACAGGGAGATTAAAGGATTTGTTTCACATCATTCAGCAAGCTTGTGGCAATAAAACTTGGATCTTCTTTCCAGGCATCCAGTAGACATATTAATATATGTATGACATTTTGGAGAATGATGGACACTGCTCTGAAGAACTGTAAAAAGATTCTTCTGAAGTAGCCGGCAATTTCATAGATATGGCTGATCCAGCTGATGGTGTACTTGGGTTTTTAAGAAAAGCTTTTCATTTCTTAAAGTAACTAAATCCTTATGTAATTAGGAGAGATGCCCTTGCGGGTTTACTGTTAGAAAAATGAGGAATAAAGGATAGCTCAGTGTTCACAGAACCTCCTGCTGTGGAGACCTGTGTAGGATCTGAGTTCTTTGGGGTATCTGATAAAGGGAGGTGAACTGCAAGATAACAAAGTTCAGTGATGCAAAATTATTAGGAGTAAGTCTAAAAAAATATTTCCAGCTCCTTGCAGAAGGGTTTAGTTTCTCACTATGCATAGTGGCTTGTCATCAAAGTAGGAACTTGCGGGGTAATGAACATGAGAGGGAAGGAAAGGACACAGCTCCAACTACGCTGGAGTAATGCTGACTGTTGTAATGGGGTTTGAATTACCAGTCAGGACAGCAGTTGGCTTGAAAATGTTGGCCCTGTGCTTAACAGTGTTTAAAAGTCAAAGGAACAGAGAATGGAAGAAGAAATGTTATTGCACCATCTGAGTCCATTGGGTTCCTTCATCTTGTGTCTTGTATGTGGTTCTGGTAGCACCATCAAGTGGAAGGTGTAGAAGTACTGCAGAAGGGCGGTGAGGATAAGCACAGGCACAGATGGCTTGAATAGTTACGTGAAGATTCTTGGGCTTGGAAAAAAGGACAAATGGAGGAGATTATGATAAATATTTGTATAACTGTAAGTAGCTTGAAAAAGGAAATTAATACCTGTTTTTTCTCCAAACTTGGGTGCAAACAGTGGCATTTTGGGGAGGCTGATTTGAAACAATTAATAGCAGTGTTTAAAAGAAAAAAAAAAAGTTGTGGAACTCATAGCTACGTGTTGTGGAAGCCAAGAATTCAAAAGTCTTAAAACAGTTATAGATAGTCATAAAGGATAGATTTTTTGATAGCTCGCAAGCACAGAGGTCGTCCAAATACAGTAGCTGGTGCAGAGTCCGGAAACTTAATTAGTTGCTGCCAGAAATTGAGAGCCTATACCAGTGTATGCTATATAAGAATGGTACTAGTATAGTTTTTCCCCAAGTATCTGTAGTCAGCTGCTGTTGGAGACCTAAGCTTAGAGCAGTCTGTGATCTTAACTGGTACGTCTGTTCATACGTTGCTTTAGCCACGCCATGTCCTAATCCTCGATAGTGCCATAGGGCTGGTATCCAGGCTGTTTATTATATGATGAAGCCTTTTCTGGAGGATAAAGTATAGGGAGAGAAATGGAGAAAACTCATTAAAGTACAAATCTGCTCAGTACTAGCAAAGGGAATAGACTCACCCAATAAATTGGTCCTGCTCTAAACTCGGAATCCTTTTCAAGTTTGCTGTTTTAAGCGGTTGTGTGTGAAATCAAGGGAAGTCTCTTTATTAGCATCCCTACTGCATTATACTTCAAAGGAGTGAAAAGTACAGGGATGTGTTTCTGTGTATATATATATTTTTTTGAGGTTAAAACCTAGGTCCATATATGATAGCAAGCTATTGTACAGACAAAACTTGCTTGCTTTTAGCCGCATAGGCGGGATGAAGCCATGCCCTCTATTCTGCTGAATTGATGTTTAAGGTTCAGAGCTCTCACAGGGGCTCGGGCAGCAGGTTACAGCCCAGCGTGGCTCTGTTGGTGCCATGGGGTCAAAGCGGGTCCTGACCATGTCATGGCAGGACAGGAGTGTAGCTGATGCTTCAGTGTGGGGAGTTGCTGTGGCTTGGACCTTGCTTTGGTCTTGAACCCAGCAGCCTGGGGATCGTTGTTTTTCTGTGATTAGAAAGTGGTGTGCTTTGTCTGGGGGGGGTTCTTTCCTATTTAAGGCACACGGGGAGTTCTCTTCACCGCATGGAGTAATGAGTGCAAGGCAATGTACTGCCTGCTCCTGCCAGAAGACATTACATATTTAATTTTTCCTGTCTTGGCTGAGAGGGAGAGGCTAGATGAATTAAATCTCTTTAATCCCCCATCCTCTAACCACATCTGTTTCTACATGACTGAACTTGGCATGCAGGAATTCTTGAAACTAGCAGAGTTAATCGCACTCATTAGCCATTTAAAATGTTGACCCCTCTCTCTTCCCCTCCAGTGTATAGTTGAGGTCTGTGCAGGCCGAGAGTGAGCAGAACTTGATGTAGCTTTCCAAAACCTAGAACATCTCCCCTGTTTTGTCCTCTTCTCTCCTTTCCCCTTATATTATTAAGTCTTAGGCCATCATTTGGGATTATAATACCTCTAGTTTTAGAGCTTTTTACAATTGTAACTCCATTATAAATTACTTGATTTTTTTTTTTTTTTTCTCCTAGCTAGCTCCTTTCTCTGCTAATGCCATTTTAAAACAAATTTCTTCTCCTTGAAGTGTTTGTGGTCCCAATACTAGTACCTCTACCCCTTAGGTCTTCTTACTGTGTACATTAAGTGCTTTGCTTGCTGTCTAGTGACTAATACATGCTGCCTCTTGTGATAAGACAAATCTCTTCAATATTAGCTGTGCAAGTAGACAGAAACATAAATGCAATAAACGGATCCTGCCGTAAGCTCTGAATCCTCCCAAGCCTTGCAGTACCAACTGAGATGCAGGAAAATGAGCTGAACTCCAGTGTCTGTTGATAAGCTGTTGGGATGTTGTACCAGAGCAGCCCTGTCAAAGGCAGAGAGGTGGCAAAAGTGTCAGACTGTTTCAGCAGCATGTGTTACCAGGAGTGCTGCTGACCTGTTCTTGAGAAGGTGGAGTACAAACCTTGGCTTTTAGATGGATGCTCATGGTGTGTGTTAGTATATAGTCAGCTCTGCTCTTCAGTCGTGAGCTGCTTTGGCAAAATATACCATGGGCTGAAAAAGGCTTTAATGAAGCTTTTCTTTGCTCCAGCTCCAAGTAAGTTCGCTTAGTGTTGTTGCAGCATCATCCACTCACTCTTACAGTGAAAGAAGCTCCTCAGGGACCTCACTATGTTACTGGTGTGCCTGTCTGGGTGTGGACATGTACCTACAAGCAATGCCACAGCGAAAGAAATGGGGTCAGTCTGAGTGGTGAATGAGTATAGAAAACCGAATATTATGCTTCCTAGAGCACAGACATCTGAGGATAACAGTGATCAAGCCTGTGCTTCCATGTACAGCTGGAAATGGGGGGCAGTGCAACTCTGCTGGAATCCATGGAGAGCATCTCATTGACTCTGGAGAGCTGGAGTTTCTCTCAGGCTCAGGCTGAAATCAGAACCATCAGAGAGTATTTCCTTATGATAAAGAGAATACCTGTGGTCTGCTGAAATAGACTGTTGGTTGCGTGTCAGTCGGGTAAAGCAGTTACAAGGTATGCATGCATGTGTACCCAGCTTGTTGAATATGGGAGCTGCCAAAACATCGGGTCTTGTATTTCCCACTTCTTTCATCATATTTGCTTCTTGCTCTCCTACTTAAAAATCCATTGAGTGCAGTTTCTAGGTAGATGGGTCGTAGAGGGAACTGTTGGTGCATTATTCTTCCTTTGACCAAATAAGCAGTTTGATCTTTAAGCTTGGAGTTCATTGCTTTTGCTCACAGCGAGTGTCAGTGTGCCTTCTAACTAGTCCTACTGGATTCAAAGGTTACTCAGATATGGTGAAGGGCATGGGAACCTGACCTCTATTATAAAGAGAAATTTTTCCTGCTAAGCCAGGGAGTAGCTGTGGAAGTATTCCAGATCTAGTACCATTGAAAGAGCTCTCTGAAGGATCCTTGATGCTCCTGTCTGTGTGCTGGTCTACTTCCACATAATTTTCCTCAGTTTTTTAGTGGAAATGGGAACTGGTAAGTTGGGATATCAATTACAAAGAAGGTATGCACCAGTGTATCACTTGGTTCTGCAATAGGATATTTGTGTTCATCTGTGTTAGAGCAGAGAAGTATATGAGCAGAAAAGCAAAGGCACTAATTGGATGGAGTTCACATGACAACATGGATTTGAGATTGGATGTCTCATGGTTTTCATTCATTTTGCTTTAAAAGCTTTTTTTCTTGTTAATTACAGTCTATGGTGGCCTTTCTCAAGGATCCAGAAGGTGCTCCACTGTGGGAGGAGGATCCTGAAGCCAAAGATGTTGTGCATGTTGACAGTGAAAAGGTACATTAGCTCGTAGATGTTCTATATGTTTTATAAATATATGGGGCAAAGGGAATGTGTATGTTTGTATTAACTCTTAATGAAGCACCATTATTTCCTTTCTTTGGAGGGGAAGTTTAAAGCACCCAAACTGTTTCTAAGTGACTTGACAAAGTTTGTGAATTGTGATAACTATAGAGTAAAGTCTTCTGCTTTCCCGCCTTCCTTTCCCTTACATGTGGTCATGATAGTACTCTGCCAGCTACATGGCAAGTATCAAGACATTGTGGATGGTGTGGTGGAACAGACCTATTTGTCTTGGGAAAGTGTAGCAGCTTGCAAGATCCAGTCACTGCAGGATGCAAGTAGGAGGTAAAATGCAACTCTTACAGCTGCAGGTTGTTGTTAAACCTTGGCTTCCTTCACGTGCCTGAGGTCATCTCAGGAAGTCTGGAGCATAAAAGACCAGGATCCGTATCTTGAGTGCTTTAACCTTGTACATTAACTGTCCTTCTTGGTGTAAAGTGAGAAAGCTGCAAATATGACGAAACTACCTTAAAAAGCCAGTGCCACCGCAGAGCTACCCGTTATTTTCTCTCTTAATATAATAATTTTGGTCTTTTGTATTACTTTTTTAGTGTATAGATTTTTAAAACTTTAATTGATTGGACTCTAGCTGGTGCTTTGTAAAGGGCCTTTTCAATTTTCTGGCTTTCATTTTTCATATTAGAAACAGTTATTTTGACATTCAGTTTTTGTAGGAAGATTAATTTTTAATGTTTGCCCTCTGTACTCTATTAGAAGCCTTCCAAGGGTTGCACTCAATTTGAAAACTTCATCTGATTTCTCTATCATGCTGGTACTGAAAAATCTATTCTCATGGCTTTTCATAGCTCTGACAAGGTTTCATAGTGTGGAAACTGAACTTATTTATTATTGAGTCTGACTTTTTGAATTAGAATATGGCTTTTTGAATGGGTCAGGGAAGAAAAAGTTTCCAATCAGAGATTCTGCAGTGAGAATAAACCAAGTCATGCAACTTCCATATCTCAACAGTGAAGATACTAGGCTAGGATATTTAGCAGATATTCAAATCTGTAATAAATTTTGCCATCTTTTTTCAAGTTAAAATTGAGCAAGGAGAAGAAACTCAAGTCTTGTCTGTTAGAAAAGATGACCCTTCTTCCCTCAGATAAATGGCTGTATTTTCTGGGAATATATATATTCGCTTTTTAAAGTTGTAACACAAATAGTAAGAGGTGTCCTTGGGTATGGTTCTGGTTTTATTTTCTTTGGTTCATTCACTAGGAATTGAGAAGGCTTCTGAAGAAGGAAGACAAACCCCTTCTGATGATGTTCTATGCCCCATGTAAGTAACCCAGCATGTCCTCTCACCTTTTTCTCCCTTCTCCGCTGAGAGATGTCCAAGTCTGAGTAGAATCCTCACCTGTGCTTCACTAACACCATCTTGTCCCATCTTTATCATTCAACTCCTTGTGTTGTTCTGCCTGTTCTCAATTTTCCCCTAGCTGTCCATCGTTTGTATCCTAGCCTTGCCTCTTTCTCTTGTAATGATGACTCTTGCTTGTTGTTCTTTTAAGCAGCTGCTTTCTATACTTTCTTTACCAGTTGTCCTCTCTAGATTTGTGTTGTATGAGACAGAAACACTGTATGCTGAATGCGTAAGTGTTAATACGTCTGTCTGAGAGCACTTAGCCCTCTGGCCTGTACGGAGCTGTAAATGCAAATGGGTATTGCACCTGCTTTTTAATTCTGCAGTTTGGGCTGTAGCGTAAGACAAGCTGGTTCCACACAAGCAAAAGATCTCCAGAGGACACTGTGGAGTTGAAATAAACCAATGTACTTTTTCTTCCTAACTGCAGGCAGAGGGAACAGTGCATTGGTCAGGAGCAGGAATATCTTTCCTACTCCATCCAGGAGGCACCCTGGGTGTTCCTACTCACACTGGCAGGAGTAACTTGAATTCAAGTGGGATTTCGTGAGGAGGGGGCAGGAAGGAAAGAGACGAGCATGCTGGAGTCACTGCATTTCTTTTGTGACTTTGACCCTGTATTGCTGCTATCTTGTCATTGCATTGGCCACTCGTTCCTTAATTTTGCAGATGTACGACTACTGTTTTGTGTTTCCTGGTGACTGGTATGTGATAGGCTTTCCAGCTCTTTAAAACAGGATAGTGCTGCACTGGAGTTGTCGCTCAGCTGGAAAGCAGAGGAGCCATGAGAAAGGAATGAACGTGTGACCTAAGCTAGAAAAGCCTCCCAGCGCTGACCTGATAGGGAAATTGTTGTTAGGCACTACTAGAAATTTGCTGGCTGGTTCTCTTTAAAACTGTGTCCTGTGGCAGCATTACCTGGTGTTTCTCAGTGTATTTTCTCTTGTAATTACTGCCTGAAATGCCATTCTACCTTTTTAGTCTCATCTGAGTACTACCAAGATGGCCAGAATTGCCCAAGACTTAGTTTGACACATCACTAGGAGAATGGGTTTTTTTCCTTTAATTAAATTAATTGCAGCTCCGTGCCTTCAGACTCTGCAGCAGGATGGTCCGTGGTTGCTCCCAGTCAGTGCTGCCGCCTTGGCAGCAGCGGGAGATGATACGCCTGCTCTGCCTGCAAATCGCCCCTTCAGGGAGAGTTCAGCTGCAGAGTGCTTTCACAGTTTACCTGGATCATGAATAATTGTTTTCCACAACTGAGTCTGTTCCTCAAATGTGCCTTATCTAACCCTTCGTTCTCTTTGAACCGTTCCCCCAGAAACCCTCCTCCTTCCAGTTTCTTTTCTTTTGAAGTGGCAAAACACCTGCTAGTCTTCAGTGCTGTAATACTTTTGCTGCTTTCTAAACTGCTGTGAAGGAAGCCTACTTGTAAGTTGGTTTTTTTTGGTTTTTTTTTTTTTTCCCCTCCCCTCTGATTTCACAATTCTTAACTCCCTCATCTTTTATTTAACACATGAGACTTTCTGACTTGGTTCTTGTCCAATTTTTCTTTTCTTACTCCTGTTACTGGAGACAGAATACATCCAGCAGTTCCATTAAAATACTGGCTTTGGGCAGCTGAAGTTACTGGTTACGTACAAGTGTTACCTTTCATAACTGGGAGCAGCAGTCAAGGCTGGTCACTAAAGGAGATTCTGCTTTTCTTTACTTGTAAGGGGTGAGTCAGGGAGGTCTTTGGTACGAGAGGACATCAGAGGCGTTGTTTGGGAAGCTACGGGGAAGACAGCTGTGTTACTTCTCTGCTTTGTTGGAAGCAGGGGCTTTAGATTGATTGTGGCAGATTCATAGGAAATGGGCGCTCTCATTATGTACCAGTGCAGAGGGAGATGAAAGTGACTGCAAACTTAAATGTGGTTTCTTTAATATTTTAGGAATGCTTGGTCTGGGTAAAACGACTTGGAGCAAAGGCATGCTTTCCTTAGAAGATATTACCTGTCATTTGGAGACTGTTACTATACTTTCGGACCTATAATATAGAGTCAGACAGCACTAAATATGAAAAATTAGGTATACTTATAGGCATTCAGATTTATTTGTAGTTAACTGTCAACGACGACTCCTGAAGGAGACGGTCTGGATTTGGCAACAAAAAGCAGCTGTTTATAATGTCAGTGAAAACAGGGCTTTAAAAATGGTGGTGTTAACTAGTGGAAACGGTAATATGCCTTTTAATTAAGCCCCTCCTTTTGAGTCAAATACAAGAAGGTGGAAAGGCTGCAGAAACAAGAGCTCTCTTTCCTCTGATTAAAGGATGTTCTTCCCAGGCATGCTGATGTGATCCTAAACCAATGGCTGCAAAGTCTGTTCCTCCTTTCTGGAAGATACTGTCAAAACTCTTGTCTCTTCACCAGGTCCCATGGTGGACCCAAGAGTTTCCACAAAAAGTGGCTGAAGTGCTTGGCCACGGTTTCCTTTCTCTCGTGCTGTCTGCACTCCTGCCCCTCCCCGTGTGCCTGCACGTATTTTACTTGGCAGGGATGAAGCCTGCTGCTTACAAGGTGATTTAGTGCTAATCTGCTTAGCACTCCCAAACAGTTCTTAGCACACGCCGCTATACGTTGGTAGTCTTCCTCACTTGCTGTTTCTCCTTTCCTCAGCACGTAAAGTTATTGTATCTTACAAGGACCGTTGCTTCTTCTGAGTTATGTCTTCTCAATTAACAAAGCACTGTTTACTTTTTGGTGTCTGTTTAATGTGTTTAGGAAATGTCTCAAATGAATTTCAAAGTCTCATTAAGCTGGGATGAATCTGAAGTCCCCCTCCTCCCTTAAAGTCCAGAAATGCACACAGCTCTTTTTTTTTTTTTTTTTTTTTTTTTTTTTTTTTTTTTTTTTTTTGAGTTCACAAGCATGACATCTTCCATTGACTTTTGAAATGTGAGTTTCATCTTAAGTTCCCCTCTGGGCTCAGCTTAGAGCCTGAGGAATGCAAGATGGTGTTACTCTTTCCAAAATTGGGAGGAGAAATGAGCATGAAAATTAAGAACATGAAAAACATGCAAAAATAGCTGTATGTAACAAGAAGTAACATCCTTAGAAACTAATAATCTAATAATTATTTGGTGAAATAGATAAGGAATGTTGTTTTAAAATTTTTTTATATGTAAAAAAATGTAGTTTCATATGCTTTGGAACATAGATCCTGTAGAACAGTCTGAATAGAGTTGTTGGTGTATTACTTACGCAATTTCTTTTTTATCAGGGTGTGGTGTTTGTAAGAGAATGATGCCGTCTTACCAGCAGGCAGCCACAGAATTGAAGGGTAAATATGTAAGTGAGAAGATAAGATTTATATAAAATTTAAAAAGTCCTTTTAACACTTTATATTTTTTTGAGTATTTAAAACCATAAATACTTATCGAACTGGGGAATTTTTAAGCAAGTCAAAACAAAACAGAAATTAGTGACTCTGTTCCAGATCCCGTCAGGATTCTCTCGCTTGGTTTTTATTCTTTTTAAACCTTTGGAGAATGAGGTGTTAATTCAGTTGGCCTTTAAAATCCAGTGTAGTTCTTGCCACAGAAAAACAGGCTCTGACACTGTGTGGCTTTACGTTTAGCTTCTGATTTGTGAGTTTGTTGCGCTTATGTTGGTAAAGGTAATGAAATGTTTGTCATAATGGGTTTGATCAGATTTTTGGCCTGATGTTTCACAGAGGGATCAAGGATGGATGCCCTTCTAGTATTAATTAATCCACTTTTTTATCACAGTGTCATGGGAGGGGGATTTCTGTAACATGAGCTACTTGATCATCCTCCTAGCTGCTAAGCATAAGCATTAATAAAATGTTATAGTTTTAATATAGCTCTGTCAACAAAGTTAGCATTCATACCAGATTGAAATGAAGTTTTGACTGTAATAAAATCCATCAACAGCAGTCACAGTAATTTGGTTACCTATTTGTACTAATAAGGCATATTGATCTCTCTAAGCAAGTTGAAGGCACTTCTCAAGTCAAGGTTTTATAATGTGCTTAATGTATAATTGGTATGATACCAATAATACATGAGTGACAAAGAAATAGGATTGTTGTTTCATGGCTTTAGCCAGATTTGGTCTGATCCTACCTGTTGGATCGTTCACGGTCGAGTTCACAGGTTTCCTCGGGAGAGGCGGCATGGGATGAGGAAAAGATGAAGCACTGCGGTTCATCGCTAGCGCAGCTCGGGCCATGGCTGCTCAGAAGCACCAAGTACTGTCAGACTCCTCCATGTTCTCACAACTAGTTGTTTTTCAGAAGCGTTTTCTCTAAATCCTTGTTTGCTTAGGGCTGAAGTGAGTGGGAGTTGTTCAGATCTGTTTAGGACGCGGTGTAACCCTTGAAGATGTTTTCAAGAGCATTTTCGTCTAGCCAGGCGGCACTCTAATCCTCTCTCCCCTCAGCGGGGCATGCGCCATGGTCTTTGGGAAGGCACTCCTGTCTTGCATGGTGGGTACGTTGCGAGGCGTGTGGTGGGCAAGAATTGGGAGTGTAAAGAATCACCTACAGAACAGAAATAGCGCCAGAGAGAAGGCATGCTGCAGAGCGCTGCCTTCTCCTGCCATTATCCCTTCCTTGCCCATGTGCAGCTCGTTTTATTAAATTCAGACCGGAGAACTTAAACTGCAGATCTATTCTAGTTTGATTATTTCCTTCCTCAACTGGAAATGCTTTCTGTAGATTCAGGCTAATCCTGCACTGCTGAGTGACAGGGCTGTGGCACAGCTCGGAGACCGGCAATGCCTCTGCTTGATGCAGCTCGGGTCAGGGGTGCTTTTTGCACTGGAGTGGTTTTAGTGCAGGATCAGTTCAGAGGAAAGACCAGTTATGCTACTGCCACCCGTATCTTTCACAGAAATCTGTCTGTTCGTCTAAATTTGACCTAACTAGCTTCCTGGGTGGGATGTGTACATAGTTTGCCATTTCTAAAGTTAACTGCGCTATACCCATCATAAATTATCCATGGGGTACCTTAGAGCGATGTTGACCTCCAGATCAGACTTTGCTGGAAAGTTTATGATTAGGTTGGATGAGCTGAGAGTTTGGCCTTTTAATCTGACCTGTCATTAGCTGTCAGGATGTGCCAGGCTCAAAAGCGATTATAGCTATTATATAGCAGGAAAATAAAGTACAGTGTTGCCTATTTAATAGGTCATAAAAATGAAAAGGTGAACTGTACCTGTCGCTGGTTGCTGTGTTCTCTTGGGACCAGTTGTTTCTTGTCCCAGTACTGTTAGTGAGAGGAAGGCATGGTGGTTTTTTCAGTGTTACATTTGGTTTAGATCTTGCAATTCCATTACACCCAGTGCAGAAGGGAAAAAGGGGCTCCAAATCAGAAGAGGATAGCTTGTTTTATCCTTGGCACGAGAGATTCCCGTGGGTTTTGGGTAGGGTGAGCTCTGGCAAGTGACTGTCACTGATGCCCTGTGGCCCCAGTGCAGGGAGGAACTGGTGGTCAGCAAAGCACTTCAGCATCTCCTTGAGGCCCGTGGGCCTCATGAGTTTGCCAGAGAGCTTTACTCGGCAAAGACCAGCTTGAGCATGTGCTTACATGCTTTCTTCCTATGGTGCTCATTGTTTTCTTTGTAAAAACATGAGACTTCTTTCAGATATCAAATAAAGGAAGCCTTTGTTTAATCTGTTCATTACGCTTGGCTCTAGGAAGGCTTCAAGTAGTGGTGTGAGGTAGCAATTTCGGAGCAATCCCGTCCAGAAAACTGTGAAGCAAGGGAGGGATCACAGCAGAACAGGAATGGTTGGAAGCCCAGAAGACGTGGCCAGCTGGGAAAGGCTCGGAGTTGGTTTAGGTTATAGGTAGCTTGGTGGAGAGCAGATAAGTGTTGAAATATGTCAGATGTCACTGCAGAGGTGAAAGGAATAAACTTATCTTTGTGTCTGCTATGGCAACTACAAGAGGTAATGGACTTAAGTTTAAGTCAGGGTCATTCAGTTGTTTGCTAAAAGAAAATCAGCTAAGCATCTGGCAGGAGCAGCTTGAGTATGGAGGGAGGATCCTGGTTTTGGGTAGTAGGTGTATTTTGATGGTCCCTGACAGCCTGGTATTACATAATTCTATGATTATAGGCCAGCTAAAGCTGTTTTTGTCATTAAAAATGGTGAATCCCATTGTAATAGACTTTTTGCTAATTATGCTTCGTATGATATACGGTCACCAGAATCAATCCAATTTACTGACCTGTATCAGGCTGGGTAGACACAGTGAAATTGTAGCGGTGTCTGAAATGGCTGGGAACGCCCATTTAAAACCTAGGTAATCCTCTGAAAGTTCATGGCAAATGTGAAATCTGGTAGAGCGGTGTTTATGAGGGAATTAGTTAAGAAACCTGGTTCTTGCTTTATAAAGCAACCACTGTGTCTTGATCCTATTGCATTCACCTACCCTCAGGTGGTGACATAGAGGGTAAAGGAAGGAGAGAATTGGGTCTAGATAATCTCGTATGAATTGAGTCAATCTGGTTGTTGGAACTACAGGGAAAATTCAAAGTAGGAGACTTGGCCAACCAGTATAAACCTTCTTTCTGTACTCGGTTAGCTTTCCTTTATCCTTTATCAGGATAGGGGAGAGAAAACAAAGTATCTTTTTGTGACTTTCCAGCACATTCTTAGAAAAGGTTGACCTTCAAACAAGGATTTTCTGCTTTAAGATTTATTTCATGCTGGCTCTGAGCACATTTGGTTGGGCTGTGCAGTTTGCTGCAGTCAGGAACCTGGTATTAAATTCTGATGTGGTATTTCAGCTGGAAGGAGAAAATCCTGGTTTTGGAGGGGGAAGGAGGAGGGGTTTGGATTAAGACCCTGCTGCTAAAATGATTTAAGCCGTCAACGCCATTAAACTAAGTTAATCATGAAGTGGTATCTCAGCAACTTGCTGGTTAAAGGTTTGACAGCAGAGCGACCTCTGTGTGAATCCCACACCCACAGAAACTCAGAACCAGTCCCATCTTCAAATTTTTGGGTCAGAAATTTTTGCAAGACAGTCAGACAGGGCACAGGATAAGCTGTAGGAGCCTGAAGCTTGGGGTGGAGGGGGTCGGTTGGGATAGAGGTAAGGAAAGGGAAGGAGAAGTTTTTTGTTTCACCTGCTAGTCTCGAAAGTTAGTGTGCTTCTGTGCTCCTCTTTTGGTGTCTGTAGGACAAGGTGAATTCTTAACTCTCATTATGTCCTACCAGTCAGGTAATTTAACATATTTAAACCATATAAAAGCCATGTGGTGTTTCCTGGACTCATGGAAATGGGGCACGTTTTACTTTGGAATCAATGTAATGCTGATTTCCTCTTGCCAGTCAGTAAGTGCGTTTTTGAACTGGGATAACACCAGTGCTTGGTCAGGTAGGGCTTCTGAACATCAGCTGAGATTGTAAATTCATGGCTGGAGTTGGAAGCCAGACAGATGAGGGTGGAACTTCTTGTGTCCCAGCTAATATTTGGATGCAAACTAAGGCATGCACTTGCAGAAGAAGAAGAAAAAAATCTAGTTAGGCTTGTAGCTTAAAATCCAAATACGCAAAGAGAGCATGAGTAGTGTGACTGAGAGAATTCCATTTAGGTATTTCTGTTAGTGGGTGAATAAAAAGAAACGGAGACACTTCCAAAAAAAGGAGGAGGTGATAAGCTGATTAGTGTGTGCTTTCTGTGGACTAGGCTCAAATATTGCTCTGTTCACCCTTGCAAAAAATCAGAAAAACTTCACTGCTTTTGCAGAGATCCCCTTGCTTTACAGCAATACGAATGAAATCAGAATCTGCCCAGAACGTAGTTGTTTTAATTAACTCTTTAAAAATAGTTGTAACATTCCTTGCTGTATTCTAAGAATCAATATAATCATGCTCTGTTTTTTCAGGTTCTTGCGGGGATGAATGTTTACTCTGCTGAATTTGAAAGGATAAAGGAAGAATACAATGTTCGGGGATATCCTACAATCTGCTATTTTGAGTCAGTTATGTTTTGCTGCTACTTTATAAATCATACACTCAACTATAATTGCATATTCTTATCTTCCAGGGCAAGGACTAAACCTTGTTTTGTTGCTTTAACAGGAAAGGAAAGTTCCTGTTCCACTTTGAGAACTATGGTGCTACTGCGGCAGATATAGCAGAGTGGCTCAAAAAGTAAGGCATTGAACTTCATGCACTCCACCTCCTATGTACTCTTCATTATTTACAGAATGTAATGGTTTAGGAACAGCCATCTCTCCCTCATTCCCTCTGCTCAGAAAAGCAAACAAAACTACCCTGCTGAGCTTGGCTAAACTAGTACAGAGAGATTGCCTAATGTTTCGGGTTTAGCATGCATGCCTTGCATTTTACAATTGCATTTCATCTGTAATAGCAGACTGTCTGTGGGCCAAAATAAATGCAGATACACCGATCTCAGCATCATTAAAAATGCCATCTTAAATTTCCAGTGATCTTGGATGCCTGAACTTTAATACCTTGCAAAAGGTCTGACTTTGTTGTTTTATTAAAAATGTATATGCCAAGAGCGCAGTTCTCATTGATTCCTCAGCCTTTAGCTGGATCCTTTAGAGTGTCTTGCGGAGACAAACAGGAGATCAAGGCACCTCGGATTGCTAGTCATTTTTGCAAAGTCTGTGTTTCCTGTCATGACATGAAGTGGTGTTGAAAGCATCTTGTTCTACCTAAAGAGAGCTATTTGCAGTCATAAATATTTTGGGGGCTGAATGAGCAGTGGGACTAGCAGTTGAGAGAGAGAAAGACAGAAAGTGTGTGAGTTTGTGTATAGTTGCTCTTCAGCTGGTGCAAATCAGCACGTTGTCAGGGAAGCTGATAGAGCAGCCGGAGAGAGCTGAGATAGTCTGGTGATGGAGAAATGCTGTTAGCAGTTAGCCCCAGCTCTTGGGCATTATGTCATCTTTGTAACCCTCCCTCGTTTGCTACAGCCACGGAAGTAATCTTGAAATGAAGCTAGTAAAAGGAAACAAAGGCATGGAACAGGCAGTTGCAAACTATTGTGATAATATGGCTTAGCAAAATTGGCTCAGAATAACTGTGGTTTACTGTATCAATGGGGCCTGGGGACATGCGTGCAGTTGCAGGCAACCCAGGGTCTTCAGCAGTGGTAGCCTAGATGCTTCAGGGTTGGGAACCCACAAATGAAGTGACAGCAGTGTTCCTGTTAGCATCAGGAGGTACAAACACTGCAGGTGAGTACTGCCTGGTGGATCAAAGAGGAGGAATTTAGCTATAGTCTTTAAGCCTCATTTAGTCCATCAAGCCTTCAGATATGAACGATCAAGGTGGCAACTCCAGCAATGCTTGGAGCAAGGATATGACTTCATCACCTACACTTTTATTATGCTTTTCAGTTTTGCAAGAATGTGGTTATCTCTTTGCTCCCACATGTGAAACATGAGATGTTTGAGGTGGGTTTTTTTCCCCCTGTCTGCCCACATGATATCCAGATAATCCCTGTAATACGCAGTACCTTTATATCAGTGCTGTGACAGCAAGTGAACACAGCTACTGGAGGCAAAGCAGAACAGCTGCAAGCTCTTCCCAATGATAATCTCTGCTAACAAGCCACTGTGGGCTTTGGCTGATATTTCAGCAGTCCAGAGCTAAAGACAGCTGTTTGTCCTCACTTAGTGTTAGTGCATGCTTATTACTTTCCCAAAAGATGATCTGAGCAGCAGCCTTCTTGCCCCTGCTTTGTATAATAAGTACAACTTTTAAGGAAACCACGTTGAGAAATTATGCATACTTTAATTTTGCCAGTAATTGATGTTGCAATTAAAACCATATATGGGATAAATCTGCTACATGCATAATATGATATTACTCTGAGGAATCTGCAGTACAAGTAGTCAAATGGTATGGCAAGGGCTTTAGGAAAGCCAAAGAGTGGAATTGGATAGCTGCAGGGTATATAGGCTAAATTTCAGGATAGTAGAATATTAAAATCATGTCAGGGAGTTGCTCTGATGCAAGGCATTGGTCTGCAGAGCAGGGGCACAGCAGTGCCAGAGTGTACATGGCAGCCCATGGCGAAGAAAGCCAATGTGTTTTTATACTGTTCAAGCACGTGCTGTCATCACAGATTCTCGAAAGAGAATCCAGGAGACATTGAGCCATATGAAATGACCTATTTTTTGTGGACACTAGGTACACACTGCAGAAAATCAGCTGTTTTCCATTTTCCCCCTTCTCTGTTTTTCCCCTCTAAATGTTACTGGTGAAGTGCTGAAAGTGGTTGATCTATGCTAATTTTTGGGGGAGGGCATGATAGAACTTAATGAAGGATGGAATTATTTAAATTATCGAAAGGATGTTTTCCGTTTACTTTCCTCTCAGAACAAGAGCTGCTAGTTTGGAGGGCTCCGACACCTTTTCTTTTTTCTTTTACTCCTTATTGAAAGTGCTTCTTTCTTATGCTGAAGTGCGCTAATGCATCAGTCTTACAGATACTTAACCTCTCTTATCTTCCTAATAGGCACTGGCTACTATCTTATGGAGCTTCAGATGTTTTAATGAAGCAATAGAGAGAAACCATCATACAGCCTTACTCCACACACAGCATTATTAACATGAGAGATGCTATCTTGTACATACCACGATTATTTTTTCTTTTCTTTTCTTTTTTTAGATCTGATACACAGCTGTATCAGCCTGGATGGTAGGCAAGCCAGACAGCTTCTTGCTGCTTTCGATAGCTGCTTAGTTTGTCTTGCTGTTTTTATGGACTCCTCTCGGGCCCTTCGTTAGCACCAGCTACTCAGTTAAATCAAGAACTTGTTCTCTGTTCTTAATTGAATTAGCTCTTGATAACTCTTCCAGACTTCTGTCATCCTATTTTTGGTCTTGAGGCGTTGGATGTGCCTTGTCTCAGTTTTAAATGACATTTTAGATTTTGCTTGTTGCTTCCTCCAGGCCTTGAGGTGCTTCTTACCAACTCCTTTGTAGGCTTATTAGCATGCACAGCATTTTAAATTGGGCCATTTGAATAAACATCCTGTGCCCTGCTTTACTAATTCCTTACTGAAATAGGTCATGCCAGGCCCTGCTAAACACAGCGTTCTCCCAGTGCTTTGTAGCCACTGTGTCTGTGTTCATCATGCTCTGCCTACTCAACCCAGCTCCCCTTCCAAATTCATTAAGTGTCATGGTGTTTTCTGAACGCCTTCACTCTGCCAGGATACTTGCAGATTGTTGCTCTCTTACAGGCCTGGCAACAAGCAAACTGATCATCTGCTAAGCTTTTAGAGAGTAGACTCTTATGGACGGGGACCCACTTCTTTGACCCTCGGCTGCTTGGCTGAGTGCGGCTCCGATCTTTGCTTTGATGTTTGTTTCTTGGTTCATTTATCGTATAAGCAGCAGCAGAGGTATGCATCACAGTTTTGCATGGATTGCTTAATAGCCTTGGATCATACCCATTGCTTACATCAACGGAATTTGCTATCTGAATCTGTGTATCTCTACTGCTTTTTTTTATCAAAGTAGGCTTTCAGCCTAGAAGTGAGCAAGGCAGGATAAATGAGTTATCATCAGTTTGCCGTTCCTTGTTCCAGGCAGCTAACACAATAATACATTTTAGTAAAAAATAGTAAATCTGCTTTTACCAGAGATGGGGTCACATCCAGACCTGTATTTTGCCAAAGAATTTGGGGAATTTTGGGGGGTATTTGGAACTCACTACTACAACTGGCAAGGATAAAATTGCTTCAGTCTGGCTCCAAATATTCCTATGTTTGGGTGTCCTTCATGTGAACACTGCTTTAATAAATAAAATGTCAATTAGCATAGTTTAGTTCACATCTGCCAAATTCTTTTTTTAATGCACATTAATGAAAGCCAAGAACAATTGTTTAGCGGGATGATGAGCACTGAACTGGTCCAGAGGAGTTTGGGTTCAGTTTCCAGATTTGCCACCATGTCTTTGAGCAGTCTCTCTGGCTCTGATCCATCAAAGATGGGTAAACTCATGTGCAACCATAGTGAAGTCGGTAGAACATGTCTTTTAGGTTAAGCATGCAGTTGAGTAGCTTTGCTGATTTAGGCCTATGAGCCCACTGCTGAGTGAGGACATAACGATGCTCCCCCAGGTCCCAGGATTGTTCGGGGTAAAACTGTGTATTCCAGGGGAAGTGGTCTGTGTAGCCAGCTCATGGTCCCAATGCTGCACCTCCTTCTTTCTCTGTCAGCTAATCACGCTGTCAGTATTCAAGGCAGCTGGTTAGATTGCCTGTTTCTGCTCTCTACTTTTTTCTTTTCATTTGCAATGGCTCCTGTGAGCTACAAAGTGTGAATGCTGTGAGAGATGGAGCATCCTGCTGAGGAGGGTAAAAGCGTAACAGAAAATGGATCTGATTTCTATAATGTAGTAACTAAGCAGTCTGGTTATTTCCTCACTCCGTCCCCTTCCATTGCTGGTCTGTCCTCATGAGCTTCTTGTGGATTTTTTTGTTCCTCCTCCAATTTTATCTGAGTTTCAGCACTTAAAAGTTCTGGGTGGGTACAATTATGGACACTGTTCAGTAGGGTTAGTGTGTCATACATACGTGGACATCTGCACAAAGTGGTTCCTTGCAGTCCGCCTTGCCAAAATGACTGCTTAGCACCAGAAAGCTGCTTTTCAGCTGTGTCTGTTTGTCTTGTAGCCCACAGGCACCTCAGCCACAGGCTCCGGAGACCCCTTGGGCAGACGAAGAAAATGTAGTTTATCATCTGACTGATGAGGACTTCGACAAGTTTATAAAAGATCATTCATCTGTGCTAGTGATGTTCCATGCACCATGTGAGTTTGGTTATTTTTTTTTTCTGTTCTGTACCCCGAGCCAAATGCTTGTTAACAAAACCAATGATGATTTTCTGTGGAGGTTTCACAGAGCCATGAACTCAAAGTCCAGGCTTTTTGTGTTTGTGATGATCGTTAAATACACAAGACATGAAATGTTTGTGAAGTTGCTGACTTCCACGTTTAGGACTGAGATCTGCTGCTGAAAGAAACACTTTGTAGGCTGAGTCAAAACATAACTGAAGAGTGTAACGATGCCTAAATAGTCTTAGGACTCATCATTTTACTGCATGATTTCCCATTTTCAGCTTTTCTTCTGTGGTGTTTACTTTCAAAGCAGAGTTCTGGCTGAGCAACTCAACTTGAGAACCGTGAGCTCCTGAGTCCTTGTTCATGGCTGCTGATGTGTCATTTTGAGCATTTTCACTCCTCTGCTGCAGTTTGTTCTCTGGCAGTGTGAGGGGTGATGGTCATTATGTATTGTGCTGGAGTACGCTAAAACTTGATCTAGGTTCAGAAAGTCCCCAGGGCTTTTGAAAATGAATGCAGAGCTGGTAGTGATACTACTGCTCGACTTGAGAATGCATTGGGATGATTTTTTTAATGACTTGGTGTTTTAGCTTGAGCAATAAAATGGTTGCCCAGAGGTCCTGCCTTCAGAAAGCTGTTCCAGCATTGACAGCCTCCTGTACGCTGTTGGGAGGAAGAGTGTGTTAACCGCTTTGTTCACTTAGGCTGTAAGTTGTTTCAGCTACGTAGCTGGTTCTACCAGTTCTTCGTGTCTGCGATGGAAGGTTCAGGCTTGAATCTGCTATGTTGGGTGATACACAACTGCTCTCTCCTCTTGCTGCTGTGCTGGCAGTTGCACTTGGGCAAGATGTTCATTTTCATGGGCATAGATTTGAAGTTTAGGGCTCTGGAGGCAGGGCTGCGTGCTCACAGCTGAACAGTGGAGGGTCTTGGCACAGAGGCTTTCATCCTGCTTCCCTTTAAGCCAGCAGGAGTTAGCTCCAAAATGCCTTTTTTGAAGGTCTGCTCATAAGACTCATTTGAAAAACATACCATAATGAATTTCCTTTGCCTGGTGAAATGTCTAGGGATTTGATCCACTAAAGCAGGTGACTGGCTGCTGTTTTGTCACTGTGTTCAGTGGATTATTTCTACTAATGAAAGTGGGACCGGAGATTAACGCCTGGTCTGAAAACCAAAACACAAATAGCAGAACTGATGAAGCCTGGTTTGCTTAGGAGTTATCCTTCGTTACCCAAATCCTTCCTTCCCCCGGATTTCCACGCACCCTGGCGTGCAAGCGACAGCACGGGCTGCTGCCCTCGGGAGCTGTGCGCTTGCTGGTTTGGCCTGGCAATGGCTGCCAAACAGAAATGTAACTGCTGAATTTCCCTCTTTTTCCAATCTGTGCACAGTGGTTAGGGATAAGTGTCCTCTCTATCTAGCCCCAGATTTTTGTATATTTATGGAGGTTTAGTCGTGTTTGAAAGCTCGCCCTTTTTTGAGTTTGTAAATGGGCAAAGGAGTCCAGCCATCTATTTGGGAGGAGGAAAAGGGGGAAGAAATCGATGGTTAGCCACTGCAAACCTTATTCCTTTAGGAAGTCAGATTAAAAATAGATGAATTCACACAACTACAATCACATTTTATAGTAAATGCAAGTTAGTTATAAATCTGAACAGGGCTCTGTTCAGTTCTTAGTTGTGGTTTTTTTTAATGTTTTCTAGAACACAAATAATACAGTTTTAGGGGTAACAATATTGAGTGACCTATTTGGAGAGGAAGAGCACTTCCAGCTAGGTATGTTTTGTACTAAGGGGCATTCTGTGCTAAGGTACAGCAGTACTTCGGCAAATGCTGCTTTAAAAGTAAATCAAATGCCTGAATCAGGCTGTTTCAATCTCCTGCTAACATGTTCCAGCTGCTCAGAATTGGGATAAAGAATGTTCCATGCCAGAACAACTCAATTTTAAATGCAGCTTGAATATTTGGGGCATTTTATTTACATTCAGGTGGTGGTGGCATGCCTACGTGCAGAATCCAGCTTGTATATGTGTAAAAGATCTGTGTTTGTAAGAATCCTCTCTGGGCATCCTCAGCAGAGAGTGTAAGGCTTGCAAACTAATTAATGACAGACAACTATCATAAACAGTTATGTTCATGATTAAAAGATCTTCTCCTAACACTTCTTAAATGTGCTAATGGAGTCACCTTATGAATACTAGGATATAAATTACTCCAGTAAAAGAAGCGGTGAAAACAGAGGACATCTTACTTGTTTTAACCTTGGCAGCTTAGGATGAGGAAGTTTTTTCTAAAAATTATTTATTAATTAAAAAAATTGTTGAAACAGATGAACAAAATAGGCCCAGAACTCAGGATATACTTCCATGTAACTAAGAACAAGCAATGGGATTCCGGCACTGGCCTGGAATTAGCAGGCAGTTAAAACCCTGCGTTACCATGCAGCATACACGTGACTTGGAGTTTTTCTACCATACTGTCAAGTCTTGTGTTCATGAGAAGTTCTTATACTAGAGGGAGAATTATTTCAGTGATGCTTTAATTGTATAGTCAGATGGCCGATGCCTTAATAGAGCGTAGCATTAAAAGATGTGGGGGGAATTGGAAGCTTTTTATCCTCCTCCCTCAAGTGCTGAAGATACAGCTGAACCAAACACATCCCTGGTAGATACCTGTGAACTGCAGAATTATGCACTGTGATGAATGTGGCCAGTTGGGTCTCCATGCCTGTGGCTACTAATGATCATCCCTGAGGACCACACTATAATTATTTACAATCAGTTGCACTTACTAGCCCAATTATAAAGGCATCGCAGCGTTTTGTGTTAAGTGCAGCCTAGCGTAACCGCGTTCAACTAGAGCAGCTACGTGTGTTTTAAACATATCGGGGAAGGTCTGCAGCATGCAGCTTGCACCTCTTGCTATCAGAAACCTTATGCCTTTTCTGCAATAATTAAGCATAGCCATTTAACAGAAGATGTGCTGCTTTGAGTCGTTACTGCTGGCCCTGAGAAATGTGAGTGAGTGTGGGTGGGCAGGATGAGTTCATCCTGCTTTCATTTTGCAGGTCACTAGGGACACAAAGCAAGATTTTTAACCTTTTGGAACTCCTTTGTAAAGCCCTTAAGAGGATGTTCAATGAATCTGAATATTTAACATAGGTAAATAGCGACCCAACTAGCCAGGAGTCTGAAGGCAATCTCCCTCACCAGCCACAGTGTTGTGCTCCTTATTAAAGCGTTTTGCTGAAATTTTGTAATTGCTAGTGGCGAGCAGAGTGTTCTCCTGGGTATATCCAGTCTGGAGTCTTGCAGACATCTGAAGTGGGTTTTCTATGTGTTGCTATTGTACCCAGAAACTTCAGGTATGAACTGAGATCTCCAGCGCTATACAAAAGGACAAATAAATGTCCCTTTCCCACAAAGGATTTGGAGTTTTTGCTTGGATTGATCATATTTGCGAACATGAGATGTCACAGTTGTGTTAGCAGGCCTATTTCTGAGTTTGCAACAGATGATGTGTCACACCAACCAAAGCTATTTCTGTACCATAGCATAAATAAAGGCACCTATGCAGCTTATGATAGCCTTCTGTTCGCAATGAGAATAAAGACTCCATGTCTGTATGTGCTTCTTGGTATCTGTGCCTACAGCTGATCAATTTATTTAGATGCCTAAGATGACAGCTGGGTTCTGAATGTCTCTAAATATGGGTTATGCTGCCAGACGAGTGTTGTTAAATGCTTTGGTGAAATGGGGACTCACTGGGACTTAAAATGCTCCTGAGTTGCTTGAGCACAAAAAAGCCCTGTATGTATTTTCAGTTTCTCCATCAAACTGTTTGCTCAGTCAAATGCAATTTGAAAAATAATTTTGTCTAAAATATTTGCCAAATCAGTGCAGGTTGCAGTCTTTCTGACTTGGTTTTGTTTTGTCAAAGGAATAAAAACCTCACGAATTTCTTTCTACATTTTTTTTGCAGCATTTTTCTCCAAAGCACGTCTCAGAGTCTTGCACAAAATAAGCCTAACCAAGTTGCTGATAAGTCAATTCGAATGCTACTGAAGGATGTTTAAAGTCTAGGATTGAAATTAAAGTCAATTCAGAAATGGGTTCTAAAACTGTCTGCTTTTCATGCACAGGGGTTACTTTTCATTATGTTTTGTTAACGCAAATGACATTGCTGACATTTTAAAGCGTACCTGTTCCTGCAGCCTCATGTAGAATAATGTCCTGGTACCACCACGAGCTGCAGCCTCCCTAGGTACGTTCTGCAAGCACAGATCTGAATAGTCCCTGTTGCTAACGAGTGGTGGTAACGAGTCAGTCACCTCTGATGGTTGCTTGGGGTTGCTTTTCCCCCACCTCATATCCCATCAGCCATAACAAAGTCCGTGGTCCAGTCCTGATGGCAGAGGTAACAGGGGAAAAAGGGGCTTTGGCTGTACTGTTAGTGTGAATGTGCATTTACTTTTTGAAGGACTAAACTATTAAAATGTTTTTCCTGCAACACTTCTTCCTTACACATGAGCTTAAATTAATGCTAAACCTGTCTTCTTCCCAGCCCTCTTCATAGGACTTCTTCAGAGAGTTTATATAAGCTGTAGTTGCAGGACTTAAGGCTAGAAAAAATGTCGGTGCCCTTAGTGGATATTGGAGCCATCACAGTTTTCCTCCCTTGATAAGGAGGGAAGGCAGGGAAAATGCAGCTTTTTTTTTTTTTTTTTCCCCTCCTTAATTTGTTCTTGGAAATTGCTTTGGAGATGCAGCCCTGATATACCTTTTCTTGCTTCCCCCCTAATGGAAGGGAGGGCAAAAATAAATCTTGAGATGATAAAATGCAGTATAGTTTTGATGTGTTGTTGAAATATCTGTGAAATTCCTTCCCTGTCTCAGATATTTTCTCTCCCTTTATAAACCAGCCCGATAAATCACGCAGTTGGTGCTTTCCAAAGCCAACTATTCAGC